AAGTTCGTTATTTGATCGACATGTACACATTAATTAATTTATCCTATTGGTTTTTTATAAGTGTGCTCAACTATGTTTGTGTTTATACTGATGTGTAACACCCCATACTAATACGATATGATGTATTTTGTGAAAATGTAGATCATGCCATTAATAAATTCTAATACTAAATATGGTTAAAGTGTTACACTAATAGACCCAATAGACCATCTGCCAAAAACTGAACACAATAAAAATTACTTAATATTAACAAATCTGCACAAAAATTACGAAAGTGACCATGGCATGGCAAATTTCAATCATTTATTTCATTAGCTCACATCATCATTATTATTATCATTATTGATAGCAATAGGATAACTATTATACTTATTATTACTGCTGATTGAACTATCATTAGCTACAGATTAAAAAATTAAAATCACTGTCCAATAATTCAGTAAATATTATTATCAAAACTATTATCACTACCAAAAGATTTATAATCTTTGTCATCTTCATCATTGCTTTCATCTTCATTAACTTTAATATTATCATCTTCATCCTCCTTATTGTCATCCGAATTTGAATTCTTATCCTTATTCTCCCTATCATTCTTTTTTCTTAACATTAAAGTGGATGATAACAATGTTTTTCCAAATCTTGAAGAAGTAGCAGAAGATACGATTCCTGATGATTTGTTATTACACTTATTATTACTGTTATTATTATTATTATTTACAGATGAACCAATTAAACCCATTCTAGCTGCAGGACCAGTATAATATTCTTTTTTTAATTGATTAGTAAGATTGTCTATTAATTGTAATGTGTTTGAATTTGTTACAGTAGAAGATGATGATTGAGCTTGTTGTTGGATATTTTTTATGTTATCATTATCTATATTAATAGCAGTACCAAAATCCTTATTAAAAGTCTCATTATTACTACCATAAGTTAGACCAGATTCACAATTATCATCAATTGGAAATGTTGAAGCAGACTTTCTTGAAATTTTAAAGGTTTTTGATTTTGATCTATCATTACTGCATCTGCTATTATTATTGTCAGTGTTAGTTTTAAATTTATGTGTTGTTGTTGTTTTTTCATTATTAATATTCTTAATACTTCTAAATTTACCTTCTTTTTGTCTTTGATCAAAAATTATTTGTGCTTTATTTAGTTGTAACAATATAATTTCTTCAAAATTATGTAACCCTTTAACATTAATTGATTTTGCTTTTTTCACACCATTATTATTCCAATCTGATATAGATTTTGGTAATTTAACTAATAATTTTTGAATCTTAGTTATTGTCTTTATCAATAGTCCATTGCTTATTTTATGTTCTGCTACTTTGTAAGTTGGATATTCAATGAAAGCATATTGGTTCATTTCAAAAATATTATCATGAATGGTATTGGTTCTGCTATTATTCTTATGAGAATTATCACCAATGATATTAATGCTTTCAATGTCTTTTTTGATCATCTTTTCAACAAATGTTTTTACTCTAAATTTTAACAATTTTAAATATCTTACTATTTCCACAGTTTCTGTTTTTGCAATTAATATGTTTTGATACAGTAATTCAATTTCTTCTTTTGCCTTATCCATATTGTCCTTATTTTGTTTATAGCTTGAATTAAGCTGTGCAATAGACATTCTAAGTTGAATGATTTGTTTCTCTCTATATTTTTGATGCTCAACATAAACATCTTCAAACATTTCTTGTAGTATTTTCCCATAATCAATTAACCAACCATCATTTCTACCTGCAAGTTGACAAGTTTCTTTTTGTAGTTCCCTGGACCTAACTCTATCTAAAAATTCATCACGTTTCAAAATCCATCTTTCCCATTCATTCAAACAAAGTGACTCAGGTTGTAAACTATGATCATTACAAAGCTATTTATTGTTATATGCATAGGAAAGTTAATGAGATAGTATCTCATTAATTAGTCATAATAACAAAAAAAAACTTACAACAAAAAAAGGATCATCAATTTCAGAATCTTTTACATATTTCAAAAGATTATATGCTTGAGCACATGTTACATGAATCCAATTTCTACACTGATATGCATCACAATGAAGAGGCGCGCCTTGACTGGCAAGTTTTTTAGGACATATACAGCATTCCTAATAAATTAATTTGATTAATATTGTCAATGATAACAAGATTTTTATTATTGTTTACAATTAGTTATTTAATTTACTTTTTTCCAATTTATTTTTTCAGTATTGCTGATTGAACATTCATCCAATCCTTGTGGATTGGCTATTGACATTCCCGGTGTCCATAAAGCACAAACTAAGTGAACCCATGGATTTGTTTTGAGCCCATTCTCTTCCTTCAATCTACGAAATGCCCCAGTTTTTTTTGGACATAAAATGCAAGACTATCAAAAAAAAAAAAAAAAATAAATCAAATTTTAATTTTAATAAAAACAATCTTCATGATAACTATGATGATTAGCATACCACCACTTCAGCTGGTTTTGCAAGACATTTGTCACAATACCAATGACCTTCAGCAGGTAACTTTATTATGCCATAACATTCTAAAAAAAAGAATAAATATATATATAAGAAAAATAATACAGAGTCATCTAACACTGTTAGTAAAAGTGATTAATACCTTGGTGACAAATAACCTCACATTTCCATCCATAACAATACACTAATTTATTTTTCACATCAGTTGCACTCTCTAGACACACACAACACAGATCCGGAGCCTCGACATGCTAAGTAAAATTTTTTTTAAAAAAACTTAACATACAATAAAAGATGTATATTATTAATATAAGAGGCGCATGTATACCCATTGTTTTAAAAATGTCTTTACATGATCTTCTTTTTGTTCTTTGTTTGAGTCTTGTCCACCATTGAATTCTTCATTAACAGCAAATCCTTGTTCTTCATTTTCAGGACTCGAACCTTCATCACCGACAACAGTATTGTCCGTTACACTTTTGTCGTCAACTGTTGTTGGTTCCATTTGTTCTTCAATTTTCATATTATTATTACCATTAATTATTGAATTGATTTCGAATTTTCTTTTCATGTTGTTGATTTATATTAAAATTGTCATGGAAATCATCAAAGAAAGAATGTATGTAGCTTAAAAAAAAATCACAAATTCTCACGTGCGATTTTTTTTTCATCTGCGATTACACAAATCAAGACATCATTATTATGTAATTTATTTTTATTAAAATTCGTTATACCGAAATTACTAATCGCATTTCAACAAATTTTATGTGAAGCAAAAATTTCGTTGTAATGCAAATTTGATTATAATTCGTTTAAAAAGGTTTGGCTGTATATAAGGTTGTGGGCGAAACCTCTTAATGACTGTTGAAACTCTGTCAAAACTCTAATGAACAATTAATGTGTAACCTGTTGAAACTCTGATGATTGGCGAAAACCCCAAATGCGAAACTCTGCCGAAACTCTAATAAACAATTAATGTGTAACCTGTCAAAACTCTGTCGATTGATTTCTGGAGGAGTTTCTCCCACAACCTTAGCTGTATATGAAAATTTACTCTGTTAATGCGAAGAAATTGGTTACATTCGGTTTAACGGGTTGACCCAATGGTTTACAGAAATATAATAATATAAATAAGTTCAATATTTAGTTTGAGATTCGATTGTGAACTGGCTCTATGTAAGCTGAACACAGATATCATGGTTATATATACCTCTTTTATATACCTCTTTTGTTTTTCATATTTTTAGATTTTTTTGTACATAGGATAGATATATTAGTATTAGTATAAAAAAAAAAGAAATCCATTCTGTGGAATATAGAGAGGCACAAGTATAATTTGCAACAATAAAGAATCTGACATAACATACCTCTAACATTTGTTATATAATATAAAGACAATAATAGTGAAAGGATACGATGGTTTTGGGCAAATATCAAATTATGAATTAGGAATTGCTGCGGAAACAATAATTTCAACATCCCCCCCAAAAAAATATATAATAATCTTTGACAAAAAAAAATTGCATATTAGGCTCCTGATTCATAGGTAAAATGTCCAGGATTAGTGATATCAGCCGTTAAAAAACCACCCTTAGCTGGTTAAGAACTTGCCAAAAATCTAAATAAGAAGCATTCAAAAAGTTTTGAAAAAAGAATATTATGAATACCAAGTTTTTTTCTTTTCTTTGTAAATACATTTCCAGTTGATGAAAACGACACCTCGGATTGGGGTGTTACACATCAGTATAAACACAAACATAGTTGAGCACACTTATAAAAAACTATATGTAAGGATTTTTTA